CTCTGTCCCGATCGCATCATCCCCACCCTTTGAAGACAAGCCAAAGAAAAAAACAGGTGTTTTCTTTTCAGTTTATTCATTCCTGTCACTGTTATGGTATGCTTATATTCGCTGTAAAACTATACAAAAAAGGATATTTGGAAAAAAGAGAGAAAGTTCGTGATTTTGTAGACTTAACTATGACACAGTTCTACGTGGTGTAAATATGAGTCATACATTGTACAAATTAAGTAGAAAGTCTGGACCTCATCAGCCTCTCGTAAAAGGCATGAAGTTGCTGAATTCGTGTAAATGTAGCCAAGTTTTAAAATATTGCATTTACCGACCTCCAGGATAACAATTTCGTCAAAGACTTTGAAGGTTTGGTTCACGTTTTAATTTTAGATGGCCACTGGTTTTAGCTTACTCTGAGACGAGCTACTCCTGACTTGAGAACAGTGCTTTTGGCCACTTGAAGTATTGAGGCTAGGAATATCTTCTCGAACATGCATGCCATTCACTCTTTGAACGCTGCCCACGTGTGTTTCAGAGGGAAATTATTATCTGCGCATGTCCCGTTTGGGGGTCATTTGCATGCGTAATGATGGCCATGGGAATTCGTGCCAGGCAAACAGCTGCTTCATTTCATGGAATTTACGTCTTTATTTTCACTTTTTGGAAATAAAACTTCCTACCCGAAATATATTCTTGGTAAGATGAGGCCTTTTCCTTACGTGTTTTTTGAAAACAAAATTGAGAAATGGTACCAGAATGGTCCAAACTAGTAATTTTTGTGAAAGCTATTTTCGTAGGCGCTAGTTTGTTTTTTACATTTTGAGGCGATTTCTGAATTTTTCAAAAGTGAGCTTGGTGGAGAAAGGTGTGAAGGTTTTAGATTTGCTGACGGTTTTGCGCATTTTTTTCTCTTCCCGACCGGACGCGTTTGCATATCGACCTAACTCAGCACCGATTCCGTTCATCCCACATAATCTTACGGCCTTGCGAGAGTATAAGAATTCAATGACTCCGGAACGAAAGACGAACTGAAAAGTACAGTAAGTTCACATGAAGTTTATTATTGAAACCCAGGTCTATCAGTTTTTATAAAACTGCACGAAAATGTTGAAATCCACCGCCTATATCCTCAGTTTTGCATGTACTATATACACGCATGAACCACATGAACATGTACACCGGCTCCATCGAAAATTTTCATGTGCATGTGCATCTACGCCGCGGTACGCGCGTAACAGGCCGCAGCGTACCGTACACGGTACGTGGCCGGTTCGGTTTTGTGCATATATAAACACGTACAGATCGCTTTGCGCAGAAGTATCAAATATAACTCATGAAAGTCGAACAAAAAAATTCTAGCTTCCTAGAATTAATTGCATTGTGTAGTTGAGGTTCTGGCCTGTCGTATGCAGTGTTAGTGAAAAAAAAGACCAAGTGGTCGATTGAAAATGGAAATAATTTATCATCTTAGCAACCACTTTCTCTATTAATAATAGAGATATCTCTGTTGTACGTCCTGTTTTAATAGAGATATCTCTATTATGTTTCCGGTCCCGCACACTAGGTCAACAGAAAGGTCATTGTAGCCTAACGCACAAAGGCTGTTTAAAGTTTCCTAATGTAAACAACCCTGGGAGTACAAGTTCTCAGACACGGATTCAAAACCCCTCACAATAATAGATTTTTAAACACAAAACGTCGAGGGCGACCTGCTGACCTCGTAAACGGGAACTTAATACAGATATCTCTATTGCGCTATAGAAATATCTCTATTTTTCACACTGAACAAATCACGATTGAACTGACCCAAAGTGAAAATACTGCTAAAGCGAGACCGTAGACAATAGCTGTGAAAAAAAAAAGAATTACAAACAAACACACACACACAAAACCCATTATCGCTTTCGATTAATTAATAACAAAATGGTCAGTTATTTCCGGAAATGACATTCTTGCATTTTTTGTTTATTTTTGGCCTGTTTTCGGGAGGGAGGCCGAGGGCTTAGCCATCATCCCATGAGAAAAAGGTTATGTTGAGTAGAATGCACAGCATACAGCATCATATTTCCCTCCCGAAGCCGCGCATTTTGTGCACAAAAAATGTGCGATGTCCTATCCAGTCTATATACTGTAATGGAGATCAATGGTAATTATACGAAAATGGGCGTATCTTAACCGTTGCATATTCGTTTTTCGTCTACGAAGGTGGGGGGAATTATGATAAATAGGTACAAGAACTTTTTCAGCATAAGACATAACTGAATTGCAATCAGACCGAGTGCAGGTTGACTCTTTTTTTCTTGGTGGGGAATTCGTTGGTTGGAGGATGTTTTGATAATAGGAAAGTAAAACTCGACATTTAGCTTAGCACATAAGTTTCTAAGTGTCTACCAATCTGATCGGGCTTGCAGTTAACCCCGTCCGTTTATGATTATTATCCCTAACCTAGAAAAAAAAGTAGGCGAACCGGCTACATTAAGCTGCCTGATCGAAGCTCTGCATACCTATGGCGAATGGACGAATAGACGCAGTCTACCCTGAAGCTATAGACAAACTGCGTGACACGTCCGTAGCAAGTCGGCAGTCATACATGTTATATACAGCCCATATAATTGCAACCAGTTTGTGCTACATTGTGAGGGTGTTAAGTTGAATACGTAAAATGCAGTAGCAGTTTTAAGCCGATGGAATCCTGTATTTGAATTAGTTTGTTAGACAAGAAACTTCGACATTGGAAACGTCCCGAATATAGTATTGTGAAGTGATAACAGGCAGAAATGGGCATTGAATAAGAAAACGCATACGATAGAAACATAATTATTTCGTAATAGTTCTTGCAAAGTAATTGAAGCTCACATATGTGAATCTACAGATGATGTAGAGTGTAAATATTATAATACAATTGATTCTAAACTGTACAGCTTGTGTTCTTGATTCCTTCATGTGGGGTTATTTAAATTGACACCTCAACCGGGCTCACCACCGAGGAAAAATTACAAGCCACATTCAGATTTTGATACACGGCAAGAAGTGAGAGCTCATAGTCACCTAATAAATATCGTTAGAGAAATTGTAACAACTACATCGATATAAATAAAGACTGCCAGTATGCTAGAGACTTTACGAACTCTGCCAAAGATGCTTCAGTGGAGAACCCTTTAGGATGCCTGCGAAAACTACATGGAAATGGACAACAAATATTTTAGAGAAACAAATATCAGAAGCTAATCCAAATTCACCTGGAACCTACATACTCCAGTGGAGACATTTTTAACATTTTGCTTGGATTCATAGCTTTTTGAACAATACTCTATGGATACCTCAAGTTCCCTAAACTGATATTATACTATCTGCCTTAGATGTCAGTATTATTATTGTCCTCAACATTGACAGCGCTTTTTATTATCAGTCTATCACCATGGAGGTGTTCGTATACAGTGAAGGTTATACTATCCATGGTGGCTCCGTACCGACATGTAATGATATCATACCACTACCCTGAGATCAGACACATTCGAACCAAATATCCTTCTTCCTAGAAAACAATAAAATAAAAAAATTAAGAAGACTGTTGAATCTCGAATCGGAATAATGCAGTGAAATCAATGCTTTTCTTCGCCGTGTTTCGGGAACCGCTGTTCCACAAAAACCGAACATAATACAAACAGAGGTCACTGAAGCGACACAGGTGCGCCTTTACAAATATCACATGGCAGTTCACGTATCCTATTATGACATTGTTCGTAATGCAAGTTAGACGAGGCTATTTTTTCATGGTGGAAAAGTCCCCTCCGTGTACGGTTTACTCGAATATGAAGTCGGCTGTGTGCCACAAGTCATGGTTTTCCCCCAATTGGGCCATCATGAGTAATTAGGTTATTTTATAGAATTTGCCCGTCTTTCAGTAATTAAATTCCTTTCACAAAGCGAAAAATACATGAAAAAGAAGAGCAAAAAGTGGGGTTAAAATTGTGCAACAGACATAGATATTAGAGGAAAAACACCCTGCTTTCCTTAACAATTAATATTTATATGTGCACCTTTCCCTTTTGAAGCATACGCATGCTGAAGAACGCAGTAGGCTGGCTACTCTAGCCGACCGTGACTACGCCTCTATCTCAGTTCCCATCCGTTTTCATTTTACTAGAACATGTACTTATCCGATTGGTTAAAAGGGCAGTGTGACAGAAGTCAAGATTCCCTCAACTGCAAAATCATTGATGAAGAAGTGATATTTTTACCTGTTGAAAATTCTCTTCTTGCTACAAAGATATCATATAAGTATATAAGTATCACATAGAAAAATCACGGGTTCTATTATGGACAAATTACAAATTGTCATACTGCTGAACGAGGCAAAGGAAAGTTCCCTTCACTCCACATACTTACACATCTATCTATGTATCTTTGTTTCTTTAGAGGGAAATTATTCGCATACGTGGACGTCGGCCTGACGCACGCATGCAGCTGATATTTGGCTGTTCAGTATTTGTAATGTCTTTAAATAAGCAATGTAGAACTGAGCCCAGACAGCATGCATACATGCATTTTTCGGGGGCCAAACTTTATGTAATCACGCCAGCAATTAAGGTGAGTACATTCAGAACATCAGCGAACGTGATTGCAGGCTTTCGGATCAAAGTTACATGAAAAAGTTTTCATAGACGGCCTACACATTTGAAACACGTCTACCAGTCATTTTTTTCAGGCTTGCTACTTTGAAATGTGTGGAATAAATCACATAAAACAACGCAAAGCTGCTAACGGACATTTCGGTTGGTCTCATTAATGTAAACTTAAACGTGTTTAAAATCAGAAAATAGCCTCTTTGATATATTAGGAACTTGATTCTTCATTGAAAGGAAAATCTACTGCAGAAATGAAACATTTATGTCAAACAAAATACAACTGATTTTTTTTAGCCACCTGATTTTGTCTAAGCTTTGTAAATAGGTCTACAGGTTTTAATGAAACAACTTTGCTTGAAATTGAATATGAGTTCTCACCAAATTCGGGCGGGCACACTTTATATTCTGCTGCACAAAGTCTGGCTGTAGACAGCATGATTAGGATGCCGCAGCACAGCCGTAGACCCCATGATGGCATTGTGGAATTCCCAGACCTCATAAATGAAAAAAAAAGTTAATTTCTGACAATGTCAAGGGTTGTGGCTTCGCCTCGCCCATTCTTAACACGAACCTACAGTTCCTCGTCCTTTCTCCTTGCAGAATACGTGTATGCTGTCTTTTCTAGGTCAATACGCTGTCACTGTGACTTGAATACGCTGCTGCGTAGCTTTTGAGTATGCTCAAAAGTTCGGCACGACCCCGCATCCAAGTAGACCCTACCACGATGTATAAGATTTCACCACGATTGGCCACGCTTTCTAATTTTTTGAGGACGGAGTAAGATGTAATGGGCTTTTTAATAGCAAATCCAAATTATTACTGGGTGCAACACACTACAGAAAAAGGATCGTTCCTAGTAGGTCTACCATCTTGATAATACATACATTTCAATTAAAGACAAATATGTCTGGTTTAAAGCCTATTACTACTGATTATTATCTCTTCTACAAATTAATAACTACGTGCAAAACAAAACCACAAGAACAAACATCCCTACAAACAACTTCAACCAAAAAAAATCAACACCTCTCACCTGTCAATATGAATGGTAGAAGAAAAACAAACTATCCGGCAAATATAGTAGTTACTACAACTATAAAACCTTAACATAACCACCGTCCTCTCAAAGGGAAGTTGTTTGACGATTTGACTGTTTGATCTGTAGTACAACGTATTACAGTTGTGCAATCACAAAGAGCGTAAACAATGCGCGTTCGATTTAGAAACTGGAAGTCCCCATGTTGAGCAATCGGTGTTTTTCCCTACACGAGTCTTGACGTTGCATTATGCTTTTGACCGCCCTGACGTATTCCTTGCAGATGGGTTGGTGGATGTTCGGGGGGGCGTTCAATCAGGCGAAACATTCAGAAATTAATAACAGTATTTTGAAATGATAATATAACAGACTCTAAATGAGAAGTCTTGCAGAGGCTCAACATTTCCTTCTGGAAGGACCAGTCAGTCCCTGTTTATTCTCCTCCTTTCCGTAGTCCTCCTTCCACCAAACTCTCCTGACCATTTTCCCGCAACTTTTTCCCTCGTCCCAATGTTATACATTGTAAACATTGAATCCACTAATGCCGGGTAGATGTAACTAAAAATAGCACGCTGGCACCATAGACTCGGCCCCAGTCGCTGGTATTATACGATTCCGTATCACTACAATAATCATCCTGATTATATGCATTATGAACCAAACACAGCTGCGGTCAAAAAATTTGACTTACACTGGAGTGTTGCGCTAAAGTTTGTAAGATTTTGAAAACTAACATATTTTTTTCTGTAGCTTATAAGCACTACATCCCTTTTATTTACATGAACCTGTAGATACGGTACTCACCCGATTTTTCAGGTACAGAAAAGGAATTTTAAAAATCTCTCAATCTATTTCTCACGATCATATTACGGTCGTAAGAAATAGATTGAGAGATTTTTTTAGCTCTGCATTCGACACAATTGACCATGCCATCGTACTTGCTCGCTTGGAGCATCCCTACGGTTTGACTGGGTCTGTCCTTGACTGGTTTCGATCGTACCTTGCAGATCGTTCCCAAACTGAGGTTATTGGCGACTCTGAATCTGCTCCACAGCTTATGCCACGGGGTGTTCCAAAGGGATCTGTATGTGGTGCTCCTCTGTTCACCTTCTACACAGCCCCTATTAGTGACATCATGGCCAGACATAACGTCAACCATGTCATGTATGCTGATGACACGCAAGTGTATCTGATCTTTAAGCCGACTGAAGCTGCCAGAGCCAATCACCGCCTTGAGGAGTGTGTAGGCCTA